ACATAAAAGATGTAAGGATGTAAGATTTGGATCTTTCTCCAAACAACTGTCTTGGCTGTCTTAACAAATACCCAACCAAACCAAAGGTAATATTCACAACCAGCAGCGCTGTAAAAATAATTTTATTTAGTATTTGGCACTCATGAAACTCCCTGTGAAGACAAAGATTGACTTTTTGTGTCTGCTCGATTCGCAGTAAAGTTGTCATTACTCTATTTTTGTAAGTGGCTGAAGTGTAGGAAGAGTTTTTGGAATAGTTGGCCTGCCCTGATTATCTCCATATGAGGAGCAGAGCCTGTAATAATAGTTTCCCTTTACAGCTTGATGCCGTAGAACATTTTTCTGCCATTTTGCGGTCATGGCTCAGAACGTGAAGAAACCTGAATATATGCGCGACAGTTAATGTTTTTTTTTTCTTTTTGGTAAATCTCAGCAGTACTGCTTCTGAATGAGGCCAAACAGGGAAACAGATCTATGGTTCATTAGAATCAGGGCATTTGTGTACCTCTGGCACTGATGTGATCATCTCCTTGCAGATGAGGACTCTTTTTATAGTGGCTTAAACTACAACCATTGTGACTACCAATTATGAAGGAAAATTCAAAACACCGCCATCTACTCCTTAACGTTGTAAATATCCCCAAACTCTTGAGTTAGCTCAACCAGTTAAAGGATTTCTGTTTAAACGGGGTTAAACAAAGGTGAGGTTTAAATAAAGGGACACTTTGCTAAACTGGTCCGTCAGGTGCTCGTGGTTTAAAACTTGCATATCGCTCACTTCAGTTTGACTTGAATGCATTTTGTCGTTAGTAGATATGTGTATGGGGTTAATTCCGCGATGACACAGCCAGAGTTTGAACAGCCCTTCTGTATTCTGAAGTAATCCCCTAAAGTTTGTTCAAACATTCTGAGCTAGTTGTCCTCAGATTTTTGATTGCTTATGAGTGGATTACCAGATTTGTTCAGTAGTAAAAAAGGGATAGCTGTCATTTTTGAAAAAGCAGCGAGTCTGAGGAGTTCATCTTTTTAATTTCCGATGGAAACCACAACTACGGGGTTTTCACAGATGAAAGCATGATTTGACAGCATGTCGTAACAGGAGAGAATTTAATGAGGGAATGAGTTCAGAAAGGCAGCGTTGCTTTTTTTTTTTGCGGGGGGGGTCAAAAATGCAGCCGATCGTTCTCATTTTTCACTTCTCCTCCCCGCTGTGGCTCGGCCTCATGGCCCTTTGCTTTTTATAAATGGAAAAAAACGTAGACAATTTATTACGGATGTAAACAGACGTCGCCCTCATTAAAATGTGACACCTTAAAAATCAGCAGCGCTAACTCCACCACAGGTTCAGCTCATGTGACCACGTCTGTCAGGATGTGGGGAAAGGGGAAAAAAAGAGAGAAGAAAGTCATCCAGCAAATGGCACCAGTCCTTTAACTCCCCCCCCCCCCACCCCCATGGGATAATTACACCATAGACAGAGGTGAGGAGCAAGGGCTGAATGTTATGGCTCTGGGGCGCGCAAATTTTACAGCGGCGTGCTGTAACACTCGGGAGAATGGCTGCTCCCTGCTTTGCAAGTTAGAGCAGGAAGCTTAATGTGCCAATTAATAGTCAACATTTATATGCCAGCAGGGTTATTTAGCATATTTCGCCCTGCTGAGATTGTTTGGAGCTCTCAGAGAGTTGCTTCTTGGATTATATTCCTTCATTTCTCATATTTTGTAGTGGAACTGCCCCAGAATTCAGTATCTGGAATTACCTGCATGGGGTCTGTGTGTCTGATAATGGATGGATGGAGGGGTCTGCGTGTCTGTGCACAAATTGTGATATCACATAGTGCGATATGAAATTATTTACTAATGCAATGTTGGTGATCGCTAATAAGATCTTTTTTTAAGATATAGTAATCTATATATATATATATATATATATATATATATATATATATAGATAAATTTTGCATGTGTTTTCTAGTTTTACGACTCTTAATTGCTGGTCTGTGTGTGTGCGCAGAGGGGGTTCCTCGGTATGTGTTTTGGTGGGTTATTATTAGGAGTGATTGGTCCACGAATTACCGAGTGCAGTGGGATGTGCTGGCTGTCGGACAGGGGGAGGGGTCAGAGGACACAACCTCTCTCGGAGGAGTTGCTGTTAACCCCTGACCTTGCTGGTTAAGCCTGCAGGGTGGTGGCAGGCTAGGCGGAGGTGTGGGGGGGACACTTTGAGGTCTGTCTGGTTCAGGGGCACATGATGGCAGGCAGAGGGGGTGGTGAGGTGTCTAATCTGGTTTTTGTCTGTGAGGCGTTTTCACCTCCCCCACCATCCTTCCTCTAAGAACAGGGTTTGAGAGGCAGGACAATGTCAAAGGGAAGTGACTTATTTTATGAGCCATTTAAAGGGGATGGTGGTCTCCCCACAAAGGAAGGCAGAGAGGGAGCACAGGGCCGATGAATGCCATGACACACAGTCACATGTTTGTTTACAAGATGCTGCGCCCTTGTTTGGGCTGCCATAAATGGCACTTTTCCCCTTCTAAGTGACACCAGAACAAAGCTGTGGCACTTTGTCTTATTACGTCTTGAATTACTTGGGAAACTGAAGAGTTGACAGCCCCTCACCCAAAAAAAAGAAGAAGAAGAAAAGCCTCAGTGTGGGTGTCAGTTTACCAGTGGAACCGGACCGTTGATGTTAGATGCATCAGCTGACAGTGTTTATGTGAATCAGCTAAGTTAAAACGTGTCGGTTTGATGTTGGCTTTTATGTACTTGCTTTCTCTCTCTCTCTTTTTTTTTGTTTATTTTTTTATTAGTACTTTTACAGTTAATTTATGGATTACAACAAGGATTTATTTATTAAGACCTGTTGTTATTTTCTTTCCCTTTTTTTTGTTGTTTCAACTGAAATTTTTCTCCCCGTGGATCGAGAAATTGGCGGCCCAAATGTTTTCACAAAGTATGCATTAGCTAAGAATCCTCAGGTTTTCAGAGACCCAATTCTCTGAGCTAACAATGTGACATTTGTACAGACATTCCTGTGAATATTTGACCATCTCGCTTATTTGTGTACTTTGGTAACTAGGGCCGTTTTCCACATGGATATATTTGATTGTATGCCGTTGCTGTGGGGGGGGGGGCTGGCTGGCTGGCTGGCTGGGCGAGAGAGTGGCTGGCTGCTTCACCTATAAGTCCAGCTTGTGTACGTGTGCCTCCAATCATGTGCACAAAGAACCATGTGTCGAGCGGCAATGTGATGTGTGAATATGTTTAGGTAGGGGCTGCCAACTGTGCCTGGGTATGCGTGTGCGTACGAGCAAATATGCGCGGGAGTGGCTGGTGATGGCTGCAAGCAGAGAGATGTGTTTGAGGAGAGGATTGAGAGACGGAGAGAGAGAGATAGAGAGAGGGAGAGAAAAAGAGAAGTGACTTGAGGCTAATTTGGACTTGATCCCAGACAGAGGGGTCCAGTTTATGGCGCCAGGGTGCATCCCTCCCCCTAGTGCCCTGTTTAGATGATTGTATTGCTGAATCACTTCTGACCCTTCAGTTTAATTTGTTTTTCCAACATTTTAGCGCTTCAGACTTGTCGGAAAGTTCTCTGACCATGTGGTGCTTCATTGCTCCATTTGACAGCCGCTACGCTGCGACAAGACTGAGTAATGTCATTCCCATGTGTGGTGTTTTTTGTTTTTTCTTTATTGGGGGGTGGGGGGTTTCTACCAGCACATGTCAGACAGTTTGTTATATCCATGTAGACGTGTGAAATTGAATTTATTTTACCATGCGCTTTCCATTACATACACAGAAAGAATGTAAACAAACACGCAATGTCACAGAGGAGAAAATCCACATTAAGTTGTTGTAGCAACACATTAAACATTGAGAAAAAAGCTGTGGGAGAAAAAAAAGAGTAGCTTGAATACTACATTTAGCTGCATGAAATTAAATGACAGCAAATACAGTTTTTCTGCACAAAGTAACAGGTGCCCCTTTAAAGCAGGGCATTACTGGCTTCATTAAGTCTGAGAGGACTGGAAACTTAAATCTGTAAGAAAATGTGTTCAGTTTAGAAGTTGGAAAAACTAAAAGAATGACGTTTAAATTCAGACTTTAATGGGAGAACTCGAGGCGCTCGGAAGCTTCATGCCACGAAATGTGTAAGCCATTCATTTTTAAAACTCAACCAAACGAATGTGGGATTTTTTAGCCAATTTTCAGAATTGAAATGCGGGAACTGAGGCCAGGTCTTGTCAAAACTTCAAGCAGCGCGTGCTAGTGCACACACCGTCGATGAGCGGGAGCTGGTGGGGAAAACTAAACAGACTGTTGGTGCTGAGATGCAGTGAAAGGATCACTGTGTTCTCCCAGATTCCAACAGCCGTGTTTAAAACAAAACATTATTGCAGCTGGGACTTTTCATTCGTCCTCCTGTGACCCTCCCTTTAATTGAACGCTAAGTCTCACTTGACAAAATCGACAGCGTGTTTTAATCAAAGACGGTATTTAGGCACAAAGTGGGCTTCTCAACGTCGTCCGTCACCATCAGTACTCTATTCGTTTGACAGTGTATGGCGACATGTGGCCATAGATAGTGGGAAAGCAGGGTTTTCCTGTGTACTTGGGTTAAGCTGCCTCAGGCCGAAGATGGCCTGTTCACCTGTGAAGTGGGTAAGGATGTAATCCTTGTCTTTTAAAACCTGTGTTCTAGAAGGACACGGCACCTTAAAAAAAGCTTCATCTCCAAGCTATCAATCAGGACAGAAGAGTACCAAGTTAAGAGCAGGGCGTCGTAAAGTGGCCGGCTTAAGACGGTTAAGAGCCGAGTGTTGCAATTAAGTGCGGCAAAGAGGTTTTGTGCCACTCTAATGGTTAAAAAAAAAAAAATATATATATATATATATATACAGAGAAACTGTTCCTTTGGGTTAACCTTACTAAATCTCTGCAGAGATTTAGTAAGAAAACGATGTGAAGTTGGAGTTGCGGTGTGTCAACCCCTCACTCTTGTGGACTCGTTCACGGGATGCTGACGGACCCGTGTGCTTGTTGTCTCTTCCAGGAGCGCCCCTCAAAGTGTGTCCACAGGGTTTCTCCTGCTGCACAGTGGAGATGGAGGAGAAGCTGAGCCAGCAGAGCCACACGGAGATCAAAGCTCCCGTGTCCAGGCTTAGCACCAACCTACAATCCACCTTCAAACAGAGGCACGACCACTTTGACAGTAAGCAAACATCCCTTATACAAACACGACCACTCACACACACTACCAGTCAACCTCCATTGTTCCGCCGTGCCCAAATGCAGCACTTGTGCTTTGCGATTTTTGACGGACTCCCCCACCTGCCAGCGCACTGCTCCAGGCGGAGACAGTCAGTCTGTGTCTGTTGGAGTATCCACCTGTCCCTCAGCGTCTTAGCCCCCCGCCTTGGCACAACCCCCCCCACCCCCACCCTACCCTTAGTAGCTTGTTTCCCCCTCAATGTTGGCTTCTCTCCTCTCCTAAGAGACATGCATGCTTCTAGACAGACCACACACATCCTCAGATTTGTTCTTCCTGTTCCTTGTGTGTGTGAGCACATGTGTGTGTGCGCCTGTAAATATTGGGATCAGGTTTCCCCCCGCTGAGGAGCAAGGCGCATGGGAACACGCAACAGTGCTGACTCACATAGGAAGCAGGGCAGCTCTCAATATCCTCAGCCACCCAACCGTACCCCCTCTGCAGCACTGTAGAGGAGCTGGATAAGACTGAGAGGGGATGATGGTCCTTGAGGGCTGATGGGGGGGGGGCATCAATCAGATGCTTAAAGACATAAAAATGTATGCTTGTTAAGGGAGGCTACGTGCATAGTTTGGCACATCGCTGTGCACACATACGTTTCTGAGCATTCGCGGGTCAGAGACCCTCGGGTCGTATGCATCTGTGAAAAGCAGCAAGGGATAGTCGGAAACAGGCAGCGTGTGTATTGCAGCCAGATGTGAAGAGGAATGTGACGTGTCGGAATGCAGTGGCTGCTCTGGCCGTTCCACCCCTCCTTTTTTTTTTTTCTCTTACACTACCCTTTGTCCCCACCTCATGCCTTGCTTTTTGGGGTCTCCATCTTCGCCCCCTCAGACCATCTTTGGTTGACAGAGGAGGCCAGGCTACAAGTTTTTTCTCTATTCGCTCTCGAGGTCGTGCTCGGTCCTCCACCATCTTCTCATGCAGCTCATCTGGGGCTTTGTGGGAATGTTTAAAGGCTGTTTTCCTCCACTGAGTAATCCACCCATTACCGATTTAATCGTCAGTTCAATCAAATCTCATCAAATTGTGGAAAACCCTCTTCACAAGTTGCCAGCTGTTTTGAATATTTATACTAATTTAGGAAAGGCGGACTGTCTTACTGTAACAGTGCTGCAGTCCCAAGAAAAACTCAACTAAAAGATAGTCTCTGGTCTTTAATTTAAGAAACTGATTCAAACATTTAAATGTTTTGGACTATTTCCTCTTGTGGTTTTCATTAGTATAAAGCTTAAGTTTTGTTCAGGATCGACATTCACCCAGTCGTAATGACTGAAAAACCCTGTCGATTTGACATCTCCTCTCATGTTAGCAGTGTCTGTCGGATCGATTCTAACGGCAGGTGAAGCGGTCCCTAATGGGCTCATCAAGTTATCCCAAACTCCAAGGTTTTCTCGTTGGCCAAGAGGGGGTGGCCGAAAGGAAACCACTTTCTCCTCCTATTGATGACCCCCTTCCTCTTCTCCGTGGGCAGGTTGCTGCTGTCTCTGACCTGTTAGATGTGGGATCTCTTTACAAAGACCTGCTGTGCTCTCTCCTACCTGGGCCATTAGGCTGACCGTCTCTCTAGATACGGTGACAAGCTCGGGTTGCTATCCTTTTTGTTTCCCATCGTCACATGGAGATGCGCAGGAGGAGGCACTTGCCACTGCTGAAGCGGGCACAGGAAGCTCCAGAGGAGTTGGAGGCATATGTGCAATAAACACAGCTGCAGCTGTACGCGAAGATGGGACGTTGCAGTATGCACTTGCATGCTAACAAACTCAGGAAGTAGTGTATGTGATTAGGCAGGCTCTCATCATGCGCCTGAAGCCAGGAGTCATGGCCAATTAAGAGCCGAGCCAGAAATAGTTCTCCCCTCTCTGCGTCTCGTTGCTGTGTGTTTGTCCTGGCCTCAGCCTGTCTGTCCTGCTGCAGTGACCCTGTCCAGCAGAGTAACGCTGTGTCTGGGAATTAAGTGCTTGGATTAAGGCCCCCTTTGCCTCCAGACACACACAAGAGACATCCATCTGAAGCAGCGAGTTCCAGCAGCAGGAGGGACAGAATCCCATCCGTTCAGAAAAAGGGAGAAAGAAGCCCAGGGACTAATTGGCACAAATAGGATGCAATTACTGCCTGGGCTGGGATTGGGAGGAGTGGAGTTTATAAGGACACTGGTGGGAGGTGTTTTGGGGGGGGGGCTCCTTGCAGGAGGAAGTGGGAGGAGATCGGTCAGCTCCTCTGTTCCCATGATGGATAGGGCCTAAGATCATTGCTCATAACGTCGGCCTTTCCCTGCAACAGGCTGCAGGGATGATAATGGAAGGAGAGAAAGCTACTGAGAAGCACAACTGCCCTTCTACTCCTTCCATTTCGCCAGAGCTCACACTCCTCTGCGTAACCCTTCACCCAGATTCTCTCCCCCACCGCTGGCTTAGTCACAAGCACTTCTTTAATGGAAAAATCTTGAAGGAGTGCTCAGCCCCTGGCCTGTTGGCAGACGGTTCCATGTCAAAAACTGTTTTTTAACGACAAAGCAAGATGTCTGAGCTACGCTGCTCATACTACAGGCCAGGAAAGCATGGCCGCTGTCCCCCCCCCCCCCCCCCAAAACCCGGCCCCCGCCCCCCCCCCCCCCCCACCCGGCTGCTTGCGCTCACACACCCTGCACACACCGCTCCCCTCTCTAATCCGTGTTCTCATCAATGGGGCTTGGCTGTTTGGCATATCGGAAAAAATCACTGCAATAAACTGCAAAGAGGAAATCGAGAATTTGAGGCTTGTCTTCATGGTTCGTGCCCCTTCCTCTTCCTCCTCTCCTCCTTGGTCTCCTCTTCCTGACTTTCAACTTGCTGCTGTGATGACATTCCAGCGGTGGGGGTGGACCTTCTTCTCTTTTTTTGTTTTTTTTTTGTTTTAATCTCTGTCAGTGGAGCGTGGTACTCGCTGCCCTCTCCAGTGGCTGCATGTGTGCGTGTATTTGTGCACTCGCGTGTCCCAGTTTGTGTCATTGGGGGAGGAAAAGCCGGTGATGGTGGGGAGGCAAATGGAAGGGCCACAATATTTCCGGTATCCTTGACGACACAGTGGGTACTTGGAGTTAAAAAAGCCCTCAACTTAACCCACCCCAAGACGCCCTCACCCCTCCCAAGTCTTATTTTTTTATTTTTAGTGTGCTAGTCTGAAGTGGAAGTGACAGCACTTCGGGGACTGTGTGTGTGTGTATGTGTATGTGTGTGTGTGTGTGTGTCTGTGTCTGTGTGTGTGTGGACGGATGGCAGAGGGCATTTAGTGACTCCCCTTGTGAGAGCATGGGAACTTTACATTTCAAAGCCACGCAGTGGGCACCCAGAGATACTGCAGAAGTTTTGTCTACAAGGGTCAGCAAGGAGGGGGGGGGTTAAGAATGGTTATGGGGGGAAAAAAGATGAGTGAACGTAGGGGGGAGGGGTTGGTGGGTGCCTCTATGCGTGTGAAACCTAAGGTGAAACATTTTCAGGGACTCAGTGGAATTCTCATTTTGTTCAGATTAAGAAAGTTGGGGCAAGAAGGGGGTGGGGGGGCATGGGAGGAGAGGGTTGGATTATTGGAGGTGGGGGGTGGAGGGTGATGGACATTCCTCGGGATGAAATAGGTCATTGTTCCCCGTTTCTAGTGAAGAGGGCTCTCTGAAGGAACCGATGAAGTGAAAGCGACGGAGGGAGGGGGGATGCGAGCCCGAGCGGGGGCTACAGGTCCATCTACGGGAGGAGGAGACGAGGCGGGGGTGGCATTATTCAGTAATCCTATTGAAAATTGCCTCTGAAGGACAGTCCAAGAGAAGCTAGCTGGCAGAAAGGGAAGCGAATGGAATGTGACAACAGAAAAATGCCATTGATGGTGGTCAGTTTAAAGCGGGCTGATGTGGAGAGGCAGCTGGGGCTGAATGGAAGGGAGCAGCGTCGGGACAGAGAGATGCTCAACCTTTCACCATCCTCATCCCTCCATGTCCAACTTTGTAATCGAATCGAGGTTTAATACGTAAGCTGTTTTTGGACTCAAAATGTTGACGATGGCAGAAGCGACCTAAAACCAGTCTGAGAGCATATATGTTTTTTATGTTTCCAGAGGTTCTGTATGACTAAACCCCCCTTCCTCTCCACAGAGTTTTTCCGGGAGCTCTTGAAAAACGCGGAGGACTCACTGAACAACATGTTTGTGCGGACGTACGGCATGATGTATGTGCAAAACGCAGAGCTTTTCAAGGATTTCTTCAAGAGCCTGACGCGGTACTACGTGTCCGGCTCCGCTGCGGTCAACCTGGACTCCATGCTGTCGGAGTTCTGGGCCGACCTTCTGGAGCGGATGTTCCGGCTGGTCAACGTGCAGTACGAGTTCAGCGACGCCTACATGGAGTGCGTCAGCCAGCACACGGAGCAGCTGCAGCCCTTCGGCGACGTGCCCAGAAAGCTCCGCATCCAGCTGACGCGGGCCTTCGTCGCCGCCCGCACCTTCGTCCGCGGCCTGGCCCTCATGCCCGACGTGGTCAACAAAGTGTCCACGGTAAGCGAACGCTGCTTTTGGCTTTGCCAAAAAGCGACCCATCCCCTTCCATCCCTCCCAGTTTGGATGACTTCATGTCTTTCTTGGAAAAGCTGGCTGTAACTGCTTCTGATAAGATAAACACCTTATTTTTTTTATTTTTGTGACTCACCTCTAATTGGATTAAGCTGTTTGTTGGAGATGGCTCATAGAATGAATGGTCAGAGTATGAATTTCGGCTCAGTGAAAAGCATCTGCTCTCCGTCTCACACAGGTCGGTGCGTCTCCCAGCTGTGTGCGAGCAGCTATGAAGATGTTGTACTGTCCCTACTGCTCAGGCCAAGTGGCCCTGAAACCCTGCCAGAATTACTGTCTGAATGTAATGCGCGGGTGTTTGGCTAACCAGGCTGACTTGGACACAGAGTGGAACAACTTCCTTGGTAAGCAGATGCCTGAACAAGGGCACCTTCTGCAGGCGTTATGAAATTGAGCTGAGCTCCATTCCACACTCTTTAAACCATCATAATGCTGTCTTTGATTTGGCATCAAAGTGTTTTTGAATGTCCTCCTGTTTTTCTGTGTTCCTGCCACTTAGATGCTGATATTTCACCAAAGATAATCGGTTTAATCTAAGATAACACATTAGAAGTGAATGCACATTCGGGACTTAACTAAAGGGAAACATTACACCTAGGAGGACTTTTAGAACAAACCAACAATGCTTATTGTTAAAAGGCATGCTCAAACTTGTCCTTCATTCTTTAGTAAAAAGTATGAGTAAAAGGGGGAGGAGGGACCGTACATGTTGTGGGCCTCAGAGTGAATGCGGCTCTTTATATTGTGTAAACAGTCCAGTATCAGTCCCATTACATTCAGGGTGGTGTGTATTTCAACTGTTCCCTTCTTGTAAGCATTATATCTGTCTCAAATGACAGGACTCCCGATGACGACGCTGGTATCAGTCCAAGCGGCCTGGTCTCCTTTGCTTTGTCACCATTTGCCTAGATTCACTTGCGTGCAAATGCTTCCACCTAGTGGTGGTTTTTCCAGCAACAAGAACGACAGCTTGAACACTTAAAGATGTGACTTTTCTTTTTTCAGATGCAATGCTAAGTCTGGCCGATAGGTTGGAAGGCCCGTTTAACTTTGAGTCGGTCATGGATCCCATCGATGTGAAGATTTCAGACGCCATCATGAACATGCAGGAGAACAGCATGCAAGTGTCACAGAAAGTTAGTGCCTTTTTCTTTGTGTTCCTTTTAAATCATTGAAAGGATATAAAGAGACTACAATTCCCTTGCACAGAATGTGCTTATTTTTGCTGCTCTCTCGCAGGTTTTCCAAGGATGTGGGATGCCCAAAACAACCGCCCACCGATCTAAGCGGTCCGTCAAAGAGACAACCTTTGCTGGCCGCTTCCGCCCTTACAGTCCGGACGCAAGGCCCACCACAGCAGCTGGGACCAGTTTAGATCGATTGGTAAGATCTTAACATTGCATTAAAAGAATGTTTAAAAAAATTTTTTTAATCTTTCTAAATCTGTCCTTTATGCGCTTTCAGACGAGTGAAGTGAAAAAGAAGCTGAAGCATGCTAAGAAGTTCTGGTCTACGCTGCCTGAAACCGTGTGCGCGGGCGAGAGGATAGCGCCTGGAGACGAGTGCTGGAATGGCACGGCAAAAAGCAGGTAGGGGTTGAAAGAATTTTTATTCAAAGTATTAGTTTGAAATTTTCACACCCACCAAATGCAAGCCCGTGACAAGCTGACCCGTTCCACATAGGTACGAGGCAGTTGTTATCGGAAACGGCCTGGCCAATCAGGTGTCAAACCCGGACGTGGATGTGGACATAACGAAACCTGACATCGTGATCCGCACCCAGATTGCCGTCTTGAGGGAAATGACCAGCCGGCTGAAAGCGGCACACAGCGGCAACGACATTACTGAAATCCCCGGTGAGGGTAACGAACGAGCAATGTGAGTTTGAGACGTTGCAGGCTGCGCTTGTCCTTACGCCCCATCCCTGTCTTTTTGCAGAAGAAGGAGGCAGCAGCGGAGAGGGGAGCGGCAGTGGTTGCGACTCGCCGTCCTGTGACGCAGATCAGGATATCTACTTCCCGACCCCGCCGAACCCTGGCAAACCACGGGTTAATCAAGTGCACGGGAGTACATCCGCCGGGGCAGCCTCACGGGGAAGCATGGCGACGGCGCTCTGCGGGCTGGCTCTTGCCCTACTCGCTGCCCACTTGAGATAAAACTGGCGGGATGGAGGAGGAAGGGCTTGACCAGGAACAATTGAACGAAGGGGAAAACTGTCAGAGAGACTTATAAAAAAGACTGCCTTCAGGACCTCAGACTGTCCGCTGTTAGGGGGGGAGACCCTTCTTGATATTACAGTAACTTCACTATTAACTCTTTGTATGATTTTATGGACATCGTTGTACACCAGTATGATTTTTTTCCTCCCAAGAAATCCACCTTTTCCCCATGATGAATCTATACTCCAAATGCTCTTTTGGAGCTCGCTTATGGTTCTGCCTGTAGCATTTCAAAGTGATAGAATTGTCTTTGGCAGTTCAATCTCGCGATTCATTTTGTGCTTTCTCGTCAGTCGGTAGTGATTAAGTGAGATGTTCGGTTGAATAGGGAGTGCCTGTATTGGGGCGTGTCTTTATATTTCTGAGGATGTTCTTTCCTCCCTTTGGTCAAAGGGGGAAACAAAATAGCAGAAATGGAAATCGTGCCATGGTGCTTGAACGTTCCCAGTTCACATCAACCGTTTTGCACGTGGGCCGTGCGCACACTGTGAATTTTTTCGTTGTTGCACACGTTTCGAAACATTGACAAGCCTAAAATGGTGACGCTTGCCTGGGCCAAGGAAGCAGACCGAGTTGGCCTTTGAGCGGGCTTTAAAGACCAAGGAAAAAAAGCGCAGCTCATCTCCCAGAAATACAGCCAGAGAAGTCACAACACAGGCTTTTTTTTTTTTTTTTTTTAACCCAAAGATGGAACCAGCTACAGAGGCCCAAATGTGTGCATTGAGCACCTGCTATGAGCGTCGTCACAGCCTAACATCTCATTTTCCAATTGATTAGCTTCATTCTTCGGCCTCGGCAATTAAGTTGCGTGGTTGGTACCTCATACTTACCGTCATCAAGGAAGTGATGTTTGAGATGGAAGATGATAGTTGGACATGAGGCTGGAATTCCCCCATATCACACCAGAAGAAAGCAAAGCTGGCAAGTCTTGGACGCTCTCGTTGGTACCGTGAGCTCAGTTCAGCACAGACGGCCTCTTTACAGTCTTATTTGTTTGAAAGGAAAAGTTTGGTGACGTGGATGTTGAGACCATCTCATACTTTTACAGTAAAGAGGAACAAAAGACAGTGTTTTTTTTTTTTTAATCAAGAGTAATCAAAAAGATTATTTTGAGACAGGGTTTTATGTTGAGGAGGTGTAAATTTTAGCTATTTTTGGTATGAAGATATATATTTGGTACTACAATGGATTTTACAGCTAGTTTTTAGGTTGAGAAAGAGGACCGTGTGCACAGAGGAGGGATACTTTTGGCTCAGCAAGCAGTTTTTTTTTTGTATTTCATTTTGTTTTGTGTCCTCAGGCCACCATACCAGCCACAACCTGCCCCCATCCCCACAGGACACAGATGCACCCACTGAATAGCCTGTGTCAGTACAAATGGACTCATCCTGAACCATTTCACCTACCTGTCCTCATACCATGTTTTAATTTTTACATCTGGAGGTGGAATCTTGAGGTTCCACCATTTTGTTGTTTTTTTATTTTATTTTTTATCTTTGGTACATTTTAGGCATCTTCATGTTGAAAAGGAAAAAAAGATAAACAGATTTTTATGAATTATGTATCATCTGTCTGCCTAGATTCTCTGAACCACAAGGATGGATCTTCAGGATTTTATAATTTGATAATCAGGTTTTGCATCACCCGTTTCAGTTTGAAAAGGATGCATCCTTTTGTTGCTTTTATACAGTACAGTAAGTAATTTATTAGATGGATGGGACTTGTGGGTTTTGAGTAACGTCAACATTTTTCATTAAAATTTGGCTTTAAATTTGACACGTCGATGGTAACCCCACATGGGTTTTTCTTCAGGTTATCAAGAGGTATTCCAGCTTGTATTAAGACCGAAGGATTTTGATTAACCATCTATGCAACCCGCACAGAGTACTGAATCCCCGATTTACAATCACAAAAGCCGCGGCTCGGCCGCCCCGATTTGGCATTGATTCTGTAGTCCGACCAGTTTGTGTCCCAGTTTTAAGTTCCGCAAACATTTCTACAAGGGCTTTGTGAACGTTGGAGTTGTGTCAAGCGTTGAAGAAAGGCAACGCTCTGAGAGTGGGAGAAAGTGTTTCGGGTGACCATGGTGAATGTCTGTGCTTGCAGGCCGGGGCAGTGACGTTTTCGGGCTGGCAGGAAACGGTCCGGCTACTGGATGTTCATTTCATCCACAGAGCAGAGTCACTCTCAAGACTTAAAAGCTGAGTTGGATGGGTTTTTTAACCTTTCCAATATGCCTTTGGCCCACAAGAACAGAAAAGACTCATTCTCTGAGGAGTAAGTGGCTGAAAAGAATGGAGAGAAAAAGAAGTGTAAATAAAAGGCAACCTTTTGTTTTGTTTTGTTTTTTTGTTTTTTTTAGATGTCTCTAAAAGAGGACTTAACAGTACACCAGATTTTTACTTGTCAGAGTATCTCCTAAATGTTATGGAAAAAACAAGCTGAGATAGAGGTTAAATTGTAAGAGAAATTGTATATTAAACAACGTTTCTTAGTCTTGTTGAAATAAAGACTGCCAATATTTAAATAAGCGTGAGTGGCTTCTTTTGTCTGTTCTCTTACTAGACTGGACTCCATCAATCTATCTATCATCAAACGGTGAGAAATGAGGTGAAAACGTTCCCGTTGAAGATAATTACTAAAGAGATGCCTTCCAAATGGCTTAAATACCCCCTTCTTTTTTAACCTTCTTTAACACCATGTCATATTGTACATGTTGCATGTGATTAAATCAAATGTGAAAATGACAAATCAAAAAATGTGACATGGCCCAAGCTGATGGGTGGTCTACGTCATGCTCAACCTCCCCCTCTTAAAGCACATGATGTCCTGGCAGATTTGTCCATCAAAATTGAGGAGTTAACAAGCTAGTTTTATCCCTTCATTTCTACTTGACTGTTTACAGTTCCGACAGCCATTGATGAGATGGAATTGGCAATCTTTGGATAATCTTTAAGAATATTGACTTCATATTAAAGAAAGTTACAGGTTTGACCCAAAATTATGCCATGAAAGAACTGATTGTACAACTTTTATTTTTTCACATATAAGGGAAAAACACTTGGTCTGCTTGATTATTTTAATTAGTAACACATACAGGGGTTGGACAATGAAATTGAAACACCTCTCATTTTAGTGTGGGAGGTTTCATGACTAAATTAGACCAGCCTGGTGGCCAATCTTCATTAATTGCACATTGAACCAATAAGAGCAGACTGTGAAGGTCCAGCTAACAGGGTAAGAGCACAGTTTTGCTCAAAATATTGCAACGCACACAACATTATGGGTGACATACCAGAGTTCAAAAGAGGACCAATTGTTGGTGCGCGTCTTGCTGGCGCATCTGTGACCAAGATAGTAAGTGTTTGTGATGTATCAAGAGCCACAGTATCCAGGGTAATGTCAGCATACTACCAAGAAGGACGAACCACATCCAACAGGATTAACGGTGGACGCAAGAGGAAGCTGTCTGAAAGGGATGTTCGGGTGCTAACCCGGATTGTATCCAAAAAACATAAAACCACGGCTGCCCAAATCACAGCAGAATTAAATGTGCACCTCAGCTCTCCTGTTTCCACCAAAACTGTCCGTCGGGAGCTCCACAGGGTCAATATACACGGCCGAGCTGCTATAGCCAAACCTTTGGTCACTCGTGCCAATGCCAAACTTCGGTTTCAATGGTGCAAGGAGCGCAAATCTTGGGATGTGGACAGTGTGAAACATGTATTGTTCTCTGATGAGTCTGCCTTTACTGTTTCCCCCACATCCGGGAGAGTTAAGGTGTGGAGAAGCCCCAAAGAAGTGTACCACCCAGACTGTTGCATGCCCGGAGTGAAGCATGGGGGTGGATCCGTGATGGTTTGGGCTGCCATATCATGGCATTCCCTTGGCCCCATACTTGTGCAAGATGGGCGCGTCACTGCCAAGGACTACTGAACCATTCATGAGGACCATGTGCATCCAATGGTTCAAACATTGTATCCTGAAGGAGGTGCTGTGTATCAGGATGACAATGCACCAATACACACATCAAGACAGGTGAAAGATTGGTTTGATGAACATGAAAGTGAAGTTGAACATCTCCCATGGCCTGCACAGTCACCAGATCTCAATATTATTGAGCCACTTTGGGGTGTTTTGGAGGAGCAAGTCAGGGAACATTTTCCTCCACCAGCATCACGTCGTGACCTGGCCACTATCCTGCAAGAAGAATGGCTTAAAATCCCTCTGACCACTGTGTAGATCAAAACTAAAACAATTCACAATGTCTTCATGTTTAACAGTACAATGTATTAAGTGGTAAAGGTCATTCTTTCATGTCCCATCCAATGTTTCTAGTCAACATATTAGCTGTTTCCAGCTAAAGTAACCTACTCCCACACAATAACACCATGCAGTCATTGTGAGTTTTAGTTCAGGCCGCCTGACTACCACAGTAGCAGTCATGTTCTCTAGTAGTTTGACTACATCTATGGTTTAGATGTCCCGAGATATAAGATTGATGATATCTAGATTTTACATGACACTGATTCTGATAGTTTCACTGAACATTCCCACGGGTATTTGCAAAGAAACTCCAAATTAACTACAGCAGATATGAAATGACAGGAGAATTTCTTTCCTCGTTTAACCCTGAAGACCCAAATATAGAAAAATCTAAAAAATAATAATATTTTGCCTTTTAGATGTTGTTGTAGAAGGCTTTTGATGCAGAAATTAAAGAGTTTAAAAAAAAAAGTTAATGTACAGTACGTTTTTAGAGAAATGTTGTATTAACATAAATAGCAACATTGGGTTTAGCTGGGAGCAGAATATCTGTATCTGTACTCACATTGTCTGAACAATGATTCAGAACAACAAAAGGTTAATTTGCAGGTTTGATTGTTTACATAACCCCATGAAGGTATATAACATTAATAATAATCACACAGTCATATTTTTTATGAAGTCATTTATTAAAAAAAAAAATTAAACAAGATAAAACTCTTGCTTTTTCTAGCAACTTCTCCTTTCCTTTTTTTTCTTTTCATGACTGACTTTCATTAGTTGTGAAAATCCCAAAAACAGTTCTTGTTCTCTGAAAAGCAAAGGCGAACATCACACTTGCTGCATTGCGTGTTGGTGTATCCTTTATCGCAGTGTCTGCAGCGTCCTCTCCCTGTCTTTCGTGGGAAATGTGCAACTAGGTCCCTGCGTACATCCAATGGGAGGTGTGCACATCTCTTGGACGGTCTCTTTTGAGCATTCAGAGGGCTTCCTGATGTCACTGCATGTGTTGCTGGGCTCCCTTTGCCTGGAGATGGCCGTCCTTTCTTTGGAGTTTGAATTGTTGTGTTTACCAGGATGAGAGAGGATGCTAGCTGTGCCTGAAACTGTCTCCTGTTCATTGTCTCTTTGCAAGACATCTTGAGAGCTTTGCAGTCCCGCTTGTAGAGGAGCCAGGCATTGAACACAGCCAGAATGATCGTGTGCCAGAAGATGTACATGTACCAGCGACAGGATTTGATGGGGAACTTGTATTTGTCTACATAGATTTTGTAGTTTTGACCTTCTGGAAGTGTGGAAGCAAGTTTCATCACAACATCACCTGACAATCCAAGTTCAGATTTGGCTCGTATTCCGTTGACACCGCCTTGGGAGACATTGAAGTCACACACCATGCCAGAGATCCCAGTTCTCACCCACACTTTGAATCCCCATGGGTTTGGCTTGCCTCGCATGTATTGCCTGATGCTGCTGAATTTCCCCTTGAAAGGAACCATCATCTCATAAACAGAGTTGTGCTCTTCTGGTATCACCTGCAGGCATTTCTCTCTGAATGAATCAAGCCATGGTCTGAGTTTCCATAGTTTGTCTTTCTTTTCCATCTCAGATACTGTCATGTTGTTGACAAAATGTAATGACGTCAGCAGGGATTGAAATCTGTTGCGCGGCATCACATCAGCAACAGGGGAGTACCGTGTCTCTGTCTCCCAATACATACGGGTTCCAGCCATTTGTACTAGGCCCATCCTCAGGTACATGCCAAACATTTTTTCAATTTCCTTTGCAGTGGTGTTTACAGATGCTCCATGTCTCTGAAAGCTGTACTCATTTGTGTTTTGTGTCAGAGCCTCAATCATGTCTTCGGACACAAACTTCTGGAAGTATTCCAATGGTGTGTGGAGGGAAATGTCATTTCCTGTGATATCCAGACCAGAAAGATCAGTGTTGGGACTGATTAAATCTTTTTTCAGCCAACGATACCTGTCACCGGATATGGTGTGTTTGGTCGTTTTTGGCTCGATGTCCACGTAATCATCAGCTGGACAGTCCATGGGCGGTTGGTTTTGTTTGTCCACTTGTTGACAGACATCTTCATCTGAGTCTTCATCGCTGTCATCAGTGTCATTGAGTTCCATTTCAACTTCACTTTCCCCATTTTGGATGATATCCATCACATCCTGCACACTATATCGCGGCTCTCTCCTTGCTGGTGGCATTCTGAAAATAAAATATAAAATTAATTAACATGTATAAATATGCTTTTAATATTGTAGTACATAACCTGAAGGAATAGGGTGGTGGACCAAGTGCTCAGGGTACAAATGTTTTCCATGCAGACAATACTGTCTGGTTATTGTAAGTTGCTATAAATGGCTTAGCCTATGCTCTCTCTTTATCATGCTAAATAAAACATGCATCCCAATCACCAGCCATTTAGTCACACAATACTGCCTTGACATAACAATACTGCTTCTTATGCTCTCCAATTATCATACTAAAAGGAAAACATGCATAGCCCCACTTACAACCACACCCCACATTCAGGAACATTTTCACCTTTCCCAGAACTGAATTGTCTTTTGATATCCTCTGGAATGTTAGGCCAGTCTGATCAAATTAACTACATTTTTTTAATAGATAATCAGTCAAATTTGACCAGAACACAACACAAAGGTAGAATGTATACTGCCAATGTATAAAGAAAATACTCTGTTTCAGGCAGTGGTGAAGTGGAGGGAATACAACCTGTTTGAGCCCACTGCAACAAGCCTGCTATTTTGACTACCACACTCATCCAGTGTTGTATAATTGCAACAAATATTTAACAAGCTCTAAATGGAATTTGATGCATATATTCCAAAATAACTACATATGTACATGCTCTAGACATTATAATAACAACCAAAAAATATATAAAAGAAATGTTACTTACTTGAATCTGATGAATCCAGTCCAATGAAAAAAAGAGATGTTGTTCGAAGGAAACCTTGAGAGGTTGTGTGAGTTCATGGCCATAAGGCGGGACTTATAAACAATAGCATTGTGAGACTGAACAATAGGACCCAATGACTATGTAAATGTCGGGAAAAAAAAGAAAAGAAAAGAGTGTTTTTTAAAGATGGCAAGGGGTGTTACAGGGTTAAATAATACTGAACCTGACACAGACTTAGAAAACAAGGGCAAATAAAGTATTCTTTTTTTAAAGACCGAGAACGTCGCTTTAAACACATCTCCCATTCTGTTTTCAATCAATTCTGCTCACACTGTTCAAGCGCTCTCCATTAACAAGCGATGTGCACCACTGAAACTCGTCCGGCGGAAGTTCAGCCCCGGGCCTTGTCACAAAAACAATGGCGAGCGGAGTCGGCAGTAAGTTATATTTATAAATTCATACCCATACTCATACTAATATGTACTTAAGCGACTTTGGCAATTGTTGTAAAGCTCAGTATATTTCATTTAAAGTGCTTGACTTTTTTTTAACCGATTGTCTTGTTGCTGGACAAAGCGCTGCAGTGTGTGATTCTATTTGTGTCCCCTGAATGTGTCCCCCCGATCAACATTGCTAAGCTATAGCTATAAGTCAAATCTTAATAACCTTTTTCGGTTGTTTACCTAATAATTGACCTCTAGTAAGCTAGTTGCATAGTGTATTCTTTGACTTTGTCCAGCTCTTAGCCAAAAATATGTGCATTTATGTGTATTTTTAAAGTCGTCTCCACAAGCTACTGAGAAAAATACTGCTAACAGTAACCAGCTTTGATAAAAACAGTGAAAGCTACAGGACAGTAAAAAAAAAAAATGCAGCTGCGAATGGATCTTATTTTGTTTAGCAATGAGAAATACAATTATTCAATGTTTTAAGTAACATCTGAACCTTTTAGTATTTGGACAAGATAAACAATCAGCTACACAGTTTAACTTCGAATCTGCGTACAATATTAATTCAATATAAGAAAATAACAATCTTTTGAAAAAGCATGATGGAAGTTAAATTAAGGTGTATTCGTCAACTTTCACATAGCAATGTTACTATATCATCGTCTTGGGGAAATGGGTTTTACATTTTTATTTTCTCTGACCTGTTTGTTTACAGGATTTTTCTTTTTTTTTGTTTAGAAAGAAATATTTATATTAGTGAGAAAATAATAGATTCTGGTCACAATAAAAATGTTTTATAATAAATGATGACTTCTGAATAGTAAATGAATAGTAAATTGTTTTTTTTGTTGTTTTTTCTTTTTTCTTTTCTTTTCCTCCAACAGAACACAAGCTACTGAATGTGGGGCCTACAGAGCCCTGGTCAGTCAGGGAGAAATTGTGCCTGGCCTCATCTGTTATGAGGAGTGGAGACCAAAACTGGTAAAGCCGAAAACATATACAGACTAAAAAAACACTATAGCCCTGCATCACTAGGCACAAGTTTTTCAAGTCTTGTAATACAATTTGTGTGAAATTACACTATTAGTAGGAACTGATTAGCAAATTAATAGGAAATAAAAGATGTTGAAAGAGTACATCTTGGATGAGACAATGCTGTTGCTGCAGGAAAGTAAGATTGCTAAAAATTGCACTTACTTTAAAACAAGTTTTTTCTGTATTCATTGACTAATATGTTAATAAAAAATAGACTACCTTTGTTGTATAGTTTCCTCTCTCTCATACTGATACTATTCTCAGGAAGTAGGAGGCATACTTTTATACATACTTTTTTAAGTCGCTAAGAAAATATCAATCAGCTCACCACAAATCTCATCAAGCACTATTTTATTCACAAAAGAACACACAAACATATGACATATTTGAAGTGAGACATAGTATTTCATGAGAAATAATTAGCTTATCTTGAATGAGATGTCATTGACATCTCATTCAAGATGGAATATCTGGTCCAAGCTGATGGTCCCGCAGCTGATGAGACCAGCTGCTGGACCTTTGAAAGAAAAGTGTTGTCCTGTTTTTGTTAAAAGAATAATTATAGCTGCTTAACAGTCCTGGATCTTCTTGGTTGTATTTAGTTTTTACATGATGTATCGAACCTTTGAAGTTGATTATTGATAGATATTATTTAGAGTAGATGATGGTCTAATGATGTCAATATTTGATATATTTTTGCTCTACTGTGATATCTTAACTCTTAACGAGTTACTTTACATTTTAAATGCGTTCCTTTTATTACAAACATTTTCTTTCTTTTAGGGTGTCTGTAAGCAGAGCCATCAAGCCTTTCTCAGAGCCTGGCCGTCCCCCCGACTGGTTCTCCCAGAAGGTTCGGAGCCACAAACTTTCCACACATTTTAAGATTTTCTTTTGCTCTCCCAGAAATCTTTGGGTCAGGCATGCTGCTTTTGCTGATATAATATTTGAAGCCCCTCTCTGTATACCTAAGGATGACATATTTTTGAATAAATATTGTGTCTTCTTCTTAGCACTGTGCCTCACAATATTCGGAGCTACTCGAAGCCACAGAAGCACCCAAGTCAGTACCTCAGAATCGTGTTTCACCAACCATAATGTTGCTACTTTAGTCCAATGAGGCGTGTGATTTGAGAGCTGATTGCAGGTGTGCTTGCTGCCTTGTTACAGGCGTAAGCGTGGCGAGAAGGGTGAGGTGGTCGAGACCATCGAAGACGTTATTGTTCGTCGGTTAACTGCTGAGAGGATAGAGGAACTGAAAAAACTACTGCGTGACACCCAGGAGCAATACAGGTATGAATGACTAAAGCTGACTGAATAAAGCTAACTCTTAACTTATTTATATTGGGAATTTAGATATCACTTATACAAATTAGGATGATAATATATGCATTAGTTTGCTTATTGGTGGCTGCCCACCTTTATACCCATCTTAGATTTAAAATCAGAGCCACATAGATACTTCTACATGTTTAATTTCTTATCACCATAGTGTCAAATTGCAGAACAGGTTGTACTGTGCTACTAAAATCTTGATAAGCTATACTAAATTACTAACAAAAGCCTTATTAGCTTGCATTTTAAGCACTGCTGAAGAGGCTCTGGCTCAGAATGACAACAAAAAAGATCAACTCTCTGAAGTCAATGGACACACATGAATGCTGGAAGAAACAGTAAACTGTTCGATGGAATGTCTGCACATTTTTTATTAAATGTGAAATTTACATTCGCATTCTAAGATATGAAATGGTTCTCTAAACACTTTTTGATTTACAGATTAAATATTATCCTCAGAATTCTTATTATTTTTTGGTACTCTTTTAGGCCCAATGTGTAAATGCAATGCATTAAAAAAAAGCTGTAAAGGCACACATGTTGCATTGTGCTGTTAGAAAGGTGAAATATAAAAGTTGAATGAAAAGTAGTAAAAAATATTAAATTATGCTATAGACACCAGAGCAAATTTCTTGTAGTAAACTAAAAAGAAAATACATTTGTGTTGTTGATGTTTTCATAAGCCTGGAAGAATGTGTGTTATGGAGTGAAAGGCCCAAGAATTGAATGTTTTGGTGTGTGTGTTGTTATCCTCACAGGAAACTGAAGAAGGAGGTGGATCTGATACAAACGGGTCACATGGATCTCCAGCTGAAGGAGTTGTGGACAGAGATCACACTGTAAGGCTCTCACTTTTTATTTATTTTCACTATCACTTAAGACGTTTGAGGTCCAGGAAATATAAAGTATGACAGAAAAAAAACTAAACATCAAGTATAAACGTTGCTACAATCTATAGGGAAAATTTTTGTTTGTGGCACCTGACTTAAGGAAATCTTCCTCCTGGTTGGTTTATTTTGACAGTTTATCAGAAGCTTATATACAAATAAGCTTGAGTTAAAAAGCTACTAGCAAACATGGCCCACATCTCACTTAAATTTATAAGTCTTTTTATTTTTTATCATAATAATAATGATAAAATATATAATTTGGACAAAGAGCAACAACTCGACATCCTTTGGCTGGACTCTTTCATACAGATAAAACGATTTCCCCCTTTAATTGTAATGAGTCGTAGCATTTCCTTCACGGTTCTTCACGTCAGCTAAAAATGCATTTGTTGTTTCAATTCCAGAAAGAAGAAGCAGGATGAGGAGGAGGCAGAGCAGAAGAGGAAAGCCACAGAAATGGCCTACCAAGGTAGGATCAGCCTGGTCTCTGTGGTCCTTCTGTTAGCGATCTTTAATCATAATTTAGACTGTTGTAACGGCACAGGTTAAAGTAATGTTGTACTCTGAAACACATAATCATATTTCATTTATTAAAACATTTATATTGACCCACATTGATGATGAAAAAAATGTTTTTGTGCAACTTTTGGACCCCAAATCCTATAAAATTCTACAAATTTGCTGCTTGACAGATGTTTTTAACTTCTAGGATTCATATTTTGATATAATTGACAAAGACAAGAGGTAATTTAGTTTAGTTTGAATCTTAAAGGATGAAATCCCAGCTGATGCCAGGAGAGCACATACTAAGTGAACTCATCCTCTGACCCGTTTTCCCCTTGCAGCTCGTCAGGCGATCAAAAACGCACCAAAACGTCTCCCCAGCGTAACAGTACGCTCTCCACTGGGGACCAGCCCCTCAGCGATGGAGTCTCAGACCGACTCCTCAGCTCCAACGCCACCCATGGACACAGGAGGCGTTGCCTCTGATGAAATAACCACCCAATCAGTAGTAGGGGCAACTTTATACTCTTCTGTTGCGATAATGAGTCACAAGAGTCATGTTAAGTCAAAGCTAAGCTGAGCCATGTAGAATTCAGAGTTCATTCTGGATTCAATAAAAATGTATTTTCGTCCTTTTCCGTATCATTACGACTGCATGGAAGTGGTGACCCCGACTGAACTGTTTGTTTTCCTGCCTCTGCCAGGCACAAGGGGTGGGGGTGTTCCTCCCAGCTGCAGACCCTCCAGGACCAGGACCGAAAGATGGAGCTGGTCTGGCTGCTCTGGTAGATGACTCGCCACAGAAGAGACTCCTGTCCCAGAAAGCCACGCCGCCACCTTCGCCTCTTTTATCAGAACTGCTTAAAAAGGGAAACCTCATCTCAGCCAGCCCTCGCCTGGTGAGTGGCGGCTTAGCCCTTCAACCCCGCAAGATTATTTGAAATTTTAAATGAAAAGTAATGATTATAATGAGAAGAAACAAGCGTCAATATTAATATTAACAATGTTGTTTAAGTCATAACTCATTTATGACTAACTCACAGTCTCTGTATTCAGTTATTCTTTCTGATATATGTAGTAAAATCAACAAAATATGATAGGCTTAATTCAACATTTAACACAGTGGATAGGAAAAAATCATCTCGGGTTTCAGTTTAACTGGCTGGTTTAGCTCAGATGATGGATGAATGATTAGATATGCTTTTTTAGCTTTTGGTTGTCTGGATTTCTAACATACTTATAGTCTCATTACAATTGGCATGAGCTGTTAAGTTTGACTGTAAAAGCAGCAATTATTGACAAGTAGCTGACCCCCAGGCACAATATTCCAGTTTCATGCCATTTGGATATTCTTTTAACGTTGGCTCTGATTTGTTTTAGCTGTAACGCTGTTTTTTTGACAGGTTGCAGAAGGAGACTCCTTAACTAATGGTGTACAGACCGCCACTGCAGCTACTATGTTAGCACCAGGTCATGAGGTCATTACAGGTAAATGTATTTAAGTATGGAGGTTTTTAATGGGTGTGTGTCACTGGAAGCCCCCCCCCCCACCTTAGACTGATCCAAGTTCACTATGTCAGTACAATTTGCATTGTAATTAATCTGTTTGCGTTTGTAGAGGGAGAGGCAGAGGCCGTGGTGAAGGCGGAGCTTGGCGAGGAGGCGGGGCTGGTAGCAGAAGACCTCGTAGCTGTGTCCTACATTGGCGACGAGCTGGATCTGGAGACTGTGGGAGACATCATTGCCATAATAGAGGAAAAGGTGTGCACTTGTTCAGTGTGAACAAACGCTCATTTCAGATGACTTAAACCACGAAAACATGAGCACATCGTTTCAGTTTTTGTGGTCGAGTGGTCACTTTTCAATACACTTATAGCCCTCACTCATGTTCATGCAATCCAACATTTGGCTAATTTACAACCGTCAAATGCTGCGTTCTTGGAACATTTAAAAGAGTGCAGTTTATTGCTGCAGATTGTGTAGATGCATCGAGTACATTTATAATATTAAATGTATCTAATGCAGAGGTTCTTGTCTGTGCAGGAAAACTTCCATCCAGCCCTAAAAGTGCAGAATTTATACATGAAAGTCTTACTCGACCAAAGCCTCTAATGGGCTTTAGGTCAGCACTGGTGTGATGTGATCATGCTGCTGCTTTCCTGTCAAAATGCGACCCGATTCATTTTTTTACGGTCTACTAATTCACACCAAAAAGAAAGGGGATATAATCCCATTATCTAATGAAATGGCCGCTCCCATGACACCAATTTGGGTGGAGGAAGGCTTTCACCTTACCGAGGAGTGTAATTAAAAATAGTCTGTCATCACAACTGCGTCCGCCTGTTTATTAGATTTAAAGGCAAGGTCTGCAGTGTGATAGAAAGTGTCTAAAGATCAAGCATCTAAAAGGCCAGATCATTCAGATAAAATGCTGAGTGTTTGGCTTTCAGTCAGGAAAAGGAAATGTAGCTCAATCCATTACTGCATGCCTCTTTAAGCCCATTAACTTTGACTTTGAGGCACAGGTCTGAGAATGGTCTACTAAACAATAGGGTTGTCACGATACTAAAATTTTCAACTCGATACCGATACTTAGGAAAATACTCGATATTCGATACCATTTTCGATACCACAAGGATAAAAAGAAAGACCCCAAAATGTAACTGAATTGTGTCTTTCATTTCAAACTGACCTGTTACTGATGTTATCGTGACTGGTGGCCCACATCAATGACCCTAACCCTAACCCTCCAGCCTTCATAATAGTGAGAAATAAATATTTTTGGGTTAAACTTGTTTGGACTTATTGTACAAACCTATTTAACATCCACTATTTTAACATAATATTATGGATAGAGTTTAATTCAGTTTTTGCAAGATTCATTTCACTATTTTTAAATTAATGTCTAAATTAATGAAGCAATTAGGATTTTCTTGCCTGGGATCTTCCTATTGGTGACCTGATAAAAATGGCCGACTTGGATGTGGGCGGAGTTGGATATGTACTTGATTAAGGGTAGCATGTTATTATTAGCCATTAGCCGCAGCTAGCAAGGCTAACGTCTTGTTAATGATCATAAACAACATAAATAAACACATAAATAAATCAGAGAGAAGGGGCGCAGCGACGGCAGGTCAGCGTCGCGCGCGGGCTCGCGCGGTGGTATCGATACTTTTGAAAATGAGTATCGTATCCGGATACAACATTTTAGTATCGATACTTTTGACAACCCTACTTAACAATGAACAAAAAAAACGCCCTCTAAGTTGGTGACTTTAGACACATTTAGACATTAGAAAATGCCCTTTTTTAAGCCGTGTTGTTTTTCACAGTGCCATCTACCTGAAGAGCAATGACGCCCAGTTTGGTGGCCTGTCCATTTTTTTGCCTTTTCCTCATGCAGATGTATTATCTTTTCCTTCATATATATGTTGGAGCATGCAAACCAGTCAGCTGTTTGGCATGGTGTTATCTGGAATTGCTCTCCGTTATTCCTCTCAGGATGCATTAAAGGAGCTGGAGGTTGCTATGAAAAGTGCCCCATTTTTTCTTATTGTGCTCTCATTTACATCTAAATGCAGAAGCCATTGATTCTTACTTTTAAATTTATGGTGGGAAAAAAATAATGTGATGTATGTTAAGGAGATGATCTTTAGATATATAAACAGTTTCTGCATCACTAGGACAAAACTAGCTAAACATAGGGTTTGTATCTCCATTTAGTCCGTGCACTGATGTTCGTTTCTCGCCCCAGGTGGACGACCCAGTGGAGGCTTTAGATGCAGCTGCTGTGGAAGCCGCCCTCTCTCTCTGTGAGGAGGCCGTGTCCGAGGGCCACACCCTCCCCGGTCCCTGGGAAACCCAGGAGTTGAAATCCTTAGACCCCACGCCCACTGTCCAAGAGTCCAGTTCCACACAGGAACTTCAGGACATGGCCACCATGACGACGGCCCCGACACCCAGCAGCGTGGAGACCCCAACCCAAACAGAGGTGAAAAGAGAAGAACAGTTTAAGCTAAACAGCGAGGGACCGGAGGTGACGGGGAGCGATGTCACCTCTTCGGTGGCTTCTGATGATGGCGCTATAGGAAGTGAAGTTGCAGAGGAGGCGCCTACAGTGAAGGAGGCCACTGAAGCTACACTTAAGAGCGAAGGGGAAGAGTGGAGCCAGCCTGAGCCCAATCCACCCTGCTTAGGTGGGTGAAGAGCAGTTGAAATAATTCTCACTTTTCAAAGTATTTTTAACACACTTTTGTTTTTGCACCGTTTCTGTCGTAGACTCAGAGGACAGCTCTGTGTCAGGCAAAGAATCCAAGGTAATGCAGATAAACGGCCCCAAAACATGTTCCATTTATTTAAAGATTAAAAAAAACAAAACTAATAATAATTTTTATTTCCATGTGTGTCGCTGCATCCAGGAGGTGAAAGAGGAGGAGGCAGGGAGTGAGGGTGACCCAGAAGAAGGCATGGAGCTGAAGGAGGACTGTGGGGAGGGTGAGGGTCCTTACCTATCAGAGGTGGAGCGGGCAGCCAGCGAGAGTGAGGACGGCTATGGTCCACCTTCCCAGCGCTACACTGCTGATTCCTTGGCCAGCAGCCCAGCCTCTTCCTCCCAGCTGTAGGTGTCCCAGTGGTTTCACTCACACAGACCACCCTAACAGTTCAATGGTCTGTGCTTTGTGTTGGTATAATGAAACAGAGAATGGATAACACTCATCTATGCTTATTTCTACTCTCTGCCGGGGGGTTTCCGCCACATACCTGCTCTGCCCCGGCTCCCTTTCTCTCTCTCTCTCTCTCTCTCTCTCTCTCTCTCTCTCTCTCTCTCTGTTTCTCTCTGCACTAGCTCTACTTGTGGAGAGGACCAGGAGGCGGTACAGGCACAGAAGATCTGGAAGAAAGCCATTATGCTGGTGTGGAGGGCTGCAGCCAATCACAGGTGGCGCTTCTGCACACGTCCCAAACCAATTCTCAATAGTCCACTATTTTCTAAATAGGGAAGACTTTTCCTGTAATCCAGCTGAATTTTTACTTATTTGTGTGCAACATTGCAACATTTTCTGGGTAATTTTTATTTATTTGGACATGTGCTTATGTTTTCATCAGATGTGTGCATATACACCACATCACTCTGCAAAAGAGAACTTTTTATCTAAATAGGACTCATTCCGAAATAAATGCAAGTTTCCTGGGTAGATTAAGGATAATCATGATGAGGATAGTAAAGTTATTAAAAAACTAAAGCTGCAGGTAATTCTTGTCGATAGAGTGCAGTAGAAAAGTGCAGTAGAAAAAATTAAAAGTTTATTGGTGTTGTTTAGCTTTATGTCAGGGTTGTGTGTCGACAGCTCTTTTCTCTGTTTAAATGTAAATTGCAAGTAAAGCTATTTGTTCAGCGTTACCATACATAATTTATATGTAAAGCAGAAACCCTTTTTAAAATGATATTTAATGTAACTTAACTCAACAGTGTTTGTTAGTTTCAAGCTTTTGTTTGGATTGACTGAGATGTGATGTGCCTCTCAGGTATGCCAGCGTTTTCTTACAACCTGTGTCTGATGACATCGCCCCTGGTTACCACAGCATCGTGCACAGGTTGGAAAACACAAAACACGCACACTCTCTCAGCAGCTCAATGCTTGGTTATTACCAGTGTTACGCATTCATTACAAATCAGCAGTGTTTTTCCATACCCACAATACCAGTTTGTACATGCCAGCTTTGAAACCTGTGTCTCCCTGTGTTTGTGTGTGTGTGTGTGTTGTTGTTGTTCCAGACCAATGGACCTGTCAGCCATAAAGAAAAACATCGAGTCAGGCGTGATCCGCACCACGGCCGAGTTCCAGCGCGACATCATGCTGATGTTTCAGAATGCAGTGATGTACAACTCGTCGGACCATGACGTCTACCACATGGCGCTGGAGATGCAGCGCGACGTCCTGGAGCACGTCCAGCAATTTCTGGCCACCCAGCTCATCATGCAGACCTCAGAAAGCGCCATCTCCGCCAAGAGCCTCCGTGGCAGGGAGGGAAATCGTAAGCCGGGGGAGCCGGCCGAGAAGGTGGGTTGGGCAGCACAACGGGAGGGGACATCTTGCTCACAACAGTTCGAACTTTTCTGTGAATTATCGGTATTTTCGCAGGCTATCTTTATCATAATCAGCCATTTTTTTCTTTATTTACAGGTGAAATGAATGGACTCAAAACTCAATGCTTCTTATCTTTTACAGTTGTTACGATTTCACCCATGAAAATGTTTTTCTGTTGTCATACGATTTGTTATTGTGCAGATCTCAGCTTTTGGTCTGTTGTCCCTCAGCGATTGCATATTATTTAGAGGAAAAAAACCAACATGAAAATACAGCCCAGGGGTGATTTGAAGTGAATGTATTTTGCATTTTAACAGCAGGTTTTACAGACCTTAAAATGCGTTGGCTGCTGGGTCTTTGGAAACTGGTCAGCCTCCTTTTCGCTAACAGCTCTGGACATGTTTGGATGTGTCTCTACACACAGGCACAAACACACTGATGTGCTGCGTCAGGTCCTGATGGGACAGTTGACTGAACAGTTGGTATAGGACATACTATGTTAGCTAACCCTCTTCCATTCCAGTGTGTATGAACAAGTCCATCATGCTTTGGGACAAATACATGTCCCTGTCTGTCCACTTTAATTTTCTAGATTGACCATGAGAAGCCCCACAAACTGTCTTATTCAGGGTCTGTCATCTGCGCTTTTAGAAATTGAATCAATACTATAACAGTATTGGTCACTCCACCAATTTGCCTATCAAAGAACGCTATAACGTTTTTACATTACACTGTGCAAATTTAACAGCATATCTCGGTACATGATAGCCCGGTCTTCATTTTCAAAGTCAAACTAATGCCTACGTCCAGTCTGTAAAGACAACCTGAGCTATAAGTGCAGTACTTGCAATTAAATATACACCACACAGTGTATCAGGACACAATAAGTAAATAATCTGATCCTTATCAGGTCTAACAATGTGGCAAATACAGATAAACAACAAATGACACTACAGTACACAAAAGTCAATAACTAGCCAAGATATAGAGGCCATTTGGGGGAAAAAAAAGGTTCACCCTTCTGCTCCCATGAGAGTTAAGAGGGGTTTGAGTGGCAGCAAGGCTGTGTGCTGGTCTGGAGCATTCATGTTTGTGAATACAGAACACTATGTATAAAAGAGGAGTGACATCAGCAGTAATCCTGTAGAAGCAGTTGTTGCTGCCTATCAATCTGCGAATGGTTAGAAAGTCACTTTCAGACCATTTGGAGTACATCATTCGACAGTGAGAGAGATAATTCACAAATGGAATGTTTCCTAAGACAATATTCCCAGGAGTGGACATCCCATCAAGTCCACAGATCTCAGAGATGCATCTCAAACCCTACGGGCCTTAGTTAACAAATTTTATATCACAGTTCCCGATAGCACGATCAGGAAAGGACTGAAGAACTCTTCCTTGTTTGGAAGGGCTTTTTGAGTAAGACTCTTCCCTCATTTAGAGAAAAAAAAAAAGAAGTAGTTGGCCGCTCCACTGAGTTTTGGAAAGCTTCATTTAAACAAACAGCAGTTCAGCTTATGTACTGTCATAGTGTACAGCATCTTGTTTGGTTCTCATCAAACGCGGCATATCAGCACAAACGCCTCAGGCCATACCAACTGTCGACTTGCTATGAGTGTTGGAAGTCTTGTGATTTGGGCTTGTCCTGCAGCCAGCTCTTTGCAGTCCACATTGAACTCCCCTGTATTCTGAAGGGCTGGCTTAGTTTTGAATGAAACAAACGATTATACACATCGTGGTGTGCGATCCATGCGCATTTGAGCTTGTATTTACCAAGTTCTCGAGACTTGGCTGTGCTTTTCTCTTTAACAACAGTGTTTACGTGGCACATTGTGGACTCGGCTTAATACTGGCTGCTTCAGGGAAATAAATGTAACGTTGTGCCCCCGGCATCCCAACTGCACCTGTCCTCCTCTATCCGTCTGTCTGCAGCTGCCTGCCTCTGCCTTCTTCCCGTCTGTTTGAATGACTTTCTGTGGTACTGCCTGCTATTTTTCTTTTAACTCATTGTTGGAGTCACGATTTAGTCTGAACGCTTAAGAATAAAACTTGGCCCCCTCGGAAATGATTACCTTTTTAGGGGTCCAGCACTGCATTGGAAAAATGTACTTGTATTTTTTTTCTTTAACCTCCCACCCATGAAGGAAAAGCCACTTAACTTAAGTCCGGGGAGCCATGATGGGAAGTGCAGCTTGTGCCCGTTTGCTTCTCTTTGATCTTTTGGAAAATTCTGACCTTTTGGAGTTGGCGCGCTGCGAAAATTTCATCTCGACGTCCTTTAAGCGTGAGCGTCCAGCTGCTGGTCATGCACTGAGGCCTAATGGACGCCTTTCCCCTCAGCCCACCTCTTGTGTTTGACGCAGACTCGTATGAAACTTGCTTTCTCACGCCGGTGTGTCTTTTCTCTCTCTTCCTCACTCCGATGTTTGTCCTCCTACAGGACAGTGTCCCAATGGCCTCTCCTGCTTTCCTTCTCTCTCTCTTTGTAAGTATTCAGGTTCTCCCTCAGACCTCATCAGAACAAGGTCACGCTCTGCACACACCTGCCCCCCCCCCCCCCCCCCCAACCCAGAGCAAACACCACTCTCTCAGTACAACTGATCACTACTTTCGTTTGTATTTTTTTCCTTCTTCAACAACTTTACAGTAAACAAAATATACAGATAATAGCCGGAGGAGATTCTGTTTTTCTGAATTTCTAAATTATTGTTTTAAATCAGCCCCAAAAGAAAGGAGTTTAACGAGCCAAAAGAAAGGTTTGAGATTTTTTATGTAAAGTAGGTTTTTAAGGGAGCATTCGTCAGTTTTACACTAAACAACTCCTATCATTCTTAGACTTTCCTGTTTTCTTCTTTGTGAAAAGTAGCCATGCGCTCAGTCATGAGGTTTAAAATGAGACAATGGAAATTCTCTTTTCCTTTTACTCTCTCTCTCTGTCGAACACACACCTCATACATCTCTTAACACACCATCTGTGTCGCCCTCATAATCTTCTAAGTTGTGTTTGCACACAGTGTTCTCACCACACACACACACACATACACATACACATCCAGGCTCCAGCAGCCCCCTTCATCACCCAAGCTTCCGTCTCCCCTCGGTTAATGAACCATGCCGGTTTCCTGTGTTTTCTTTTAATTTTTTTCTCTGCTTTCTGTGCGGTTGTCCATGCCTCTGCATGTTCTAATTGTCTTTTCTCCTTTGTTTCGTCTCCTTTTTCTTTCTTTTTAAATCATGATTATTTTTCTTTCCGTCCCTCATTTGAGGAGGAAGTCCTCCGACGTGGACTGTGTTGTTCTTTTGTTGTTCTTTTTTTTTCTTTTTTTTTTTGTACCAATCTCATGGAGTTCGCCCTACCCACCTGGCTTTTGAAGCCCTCAAGCTTGTATTAAGTCTTTTTCTTCTTTACTCTCTCCCTGTGTGCTGCAGGACGGAGGCACCAGAGGCCGTCGCAGTGCCATGGAGGCCGACCTCAAAATGAAGAAGTAATGGCAGCTTTTAGAGAACACTTGGAAAGAGGAGGAAAGCTAAAATGGTAGAACGCAGCTCATGACTGACTGCTCCCTTTGGATGTGGATTTTTGGTCTTAGGCGTAGGGTAGGGGGGTGTGTGCATGTCTGTGAGTGTGTGTCTGAGGGGGGGGGGGCTGGCTGCATATTATAGCTTCCTCTCTGTTCATAAAGCAAATGTCTGTGCAGCACTGTGGGAGTCTCCTCCAGAAACAGAACCCCCTCATGTCCAGCTGCTGAGGTGGAGTGAGATTTTATGGGAATGGGACTTTTTCACCAGCAAAAGTTTTGCTAGGTATCCAAAAGTAATGTGTGGGAGGAGATTCTGTGAGCGTTGATCACCCGCTTCATCCGTCTGTTGATCATATCCTGCTTCAACACACAGAATTGAATTAGTCCATCTCCATTCATCTAAAATGACATCCCCTTCAAATAATTAAATTTGGATACTTTTTTTCCTAATTAATTGAGCAAAAGATCTTGTTAAATGAAGAAAATTAGGTGGCATCACTTTTGCTTTTCTGCTAAATGTTTTCAGAGAAATGGGCTGGAAGACAAACTGGCCATAGAGGGGATGCAGTTTGTTAAAAGTAATGTTTAAATCTGTGTAGCAAAGCAGTCACCACTCAAAGCAGATGAGCCGTGTAATATTTCTTTGATGGATCACCCTGATGTTTTTCTAGTGAAACAAACTCCCGCAGCTAAATAATGCGCAACAAAGAAAGAAGCCCATTACTTAATGGGCTCAAACGTGGTGGGTGGAGCTTTGAGTATTTTCTTGTGATTCATCTCCATTTGTCACTTAGGATGTAGCCTGTGTGTGCGTGTGTCCGTGGGCTTTGTAAATGGCATAAGAAAACAGTTTGTGGTGGGTGTTTAGAAAGAGTTGAAAAGTTTTGTACTTGAGAAAGGATCGTGTAGTTTGGGTAGCTGATGTTTTCTGTTGTACATTTTGTTAAATAAAGAATTGATTTAAACGTAGCATGGACTTGGAGGTTTGTTCTGGGATTTGGGCTGACAAACAAGCAAGCATAAACAAAATACACAAGGACATTATGCAAAGAAATTATCAGAGTTTAATAAATAAAGGCACAGTAGATTTCAGGGGTGAATGAGACCTGCTCAATCCTGAAATTGATTGTAAAATTTTACAGTGCAAGACTTTCAGCTGTTTTGAGCAAGAGGCTGTACTAATGTGGAGCTTGAGGTTGCATCACAAAAGTTGCATATGAACAACAACAAAAATTGGAGAGAAAAAAAAAAAAAAAGAGTTCACAGTCTGGATCTTAATGCAATCTAATTGCAATCATGAATTACTGGACTGGCAGAGGAGTAGAGCTTCCTCTTCACCAGCCGGTACTCTGGTCTCAGCTTCAGCACTTTGTTGGTCTCAAAAATATGCCTGAGCGGTGGCCAACTGTCATCCTTATCGACTTTGAAGACCACCGACAGCTCAAAGGTCGGGGTGACCGTATGGTCTGGGACGATGCTCCCCACGGACTTCAGGCCGTCCTTGCCCTCGACGTAAAGCTCGATGGAGGCGCCCCGCAGCCCGCAGGGCTCGTCGGCAGAGGTGAGCAGCACATGGTGGCCGACCCTGGAGGTCATGTGATGAGGAAGCAGCACCAACTGGCAGAGCAGGGTGGATGCCTTGGCCTCCGTCAGGCAGCGCTCGATCTGCTGGGTCACTTTCCGGTGAAGAAGACGCTGTTCATTGTCCAAACCAGCGTCCAGGTTGGCAACTGTGTAATAACAGAGAGGTTGTTACAAGTTTTTGTTTGGTAGAAATGGCAGTCACCCATAGGTATTGAAGGTGTTAGGAGTTTGACCTATTTTTCACATGTCATGTGATAAAAAGATCTAACAACACTACTCAGTTTTTGCCCTGAGTCATCAGTGTAAAGTCTTGGCATGAGCAGCTGAATGTGTGAGCGACTCAGCAACATATCAGCTGATCCAAGAACTGTGCTCATTGCATCACCCCTATGCAGATCAACAGATTCGCCATCTGCCGGAATATAGTTCCAGCTACACCAAAAACGTAATTAACGACGGGGCATTAATATTTCAGTTAGACCAATTAAATGGCCCCGTCGGCAGTTCAGCCAATTAGAATCAACTCCTAAAAGCTCCTTGAGGGAAAAAAAATATTGACTTGTTTTAATTGTATGTCGTCTAAAACAAAAGAAAACTATGCCAAGCTTTTAATAACACTACTTACAGGAAGAGTTGTTCTCCCTCTCATCGCAGCTGTCGACGCTACCCCGCCGGGCTGAACTCGTCTTCCTCCCCTGGGATGTGAGCTGGAACAGATATTTTCCTATCATTTCTACGACGCTTTCGTCCTCTGACAAAAGGGGCACTCCATGTCCAAAAGGCAGGGCCGCGGTATAGACCATCCCGATTCTTGTTTGTCAATCTCCAGTCTCCGTTCAAAGTGTTTGGTCCGTTTTCTCTCCATGTAGCGAGTGAACTGAGCTGTTGGGCAGGTACGGGAGAGCGTGGAGCTATTTATACCGGCGGAGGGGCCGCTTGCATCAGCTGAGCACTCCGCCGTGTGGGCGGGGCTTCGGCGGATCGTTCGAGAAACTTCCGGGTTTGAGGATCGCGCAACATGCCCACAGGTTACAGGGATCTGAAAGCCGTCACGTCACCGTGAAAGGGTTTGGCTGAAATTAAGGGGAATATTCCACCCATTTAAACTATCCAAACGCATGTGGTGGTTGCTTTTACGCTTATTTATTCATGTCACTGTCCACTGTTTTGTTTTTACTTTGAAGGGCGAAATTAAATTTATAGAGAGCTGACGGCATTGAAAATGTTCCAGTAAGCTGCCATAAAATTGAGCTCATTGATCTTCAGATAAAATGGGCTGAAAACAGTTTCTACTGCATGAGTACTTATTTGTTCCCAGAAAACCAAAAGTGGAACACCTCAATACCATTATCAATAACTCTTGTTGCCAACGCCCCCCTTCTCCATTTACCATAACCTACATAGTTTTGGCCAAAACCTTTCACAACATTGACTTACAATGCATTTTTGCTGTCACGCAGCACTTTTACAAGAGTTGTGAGTCATGTATGGTTCCACACACTACACATTGATGTCTAAACAGATATTTGTCTGTGCTGTGAATAGTAGGTGTATTCAGTGTCAGAATAGAGGCCACTGAATAACCACAGTGCTTCAGAGAGGAAGTGATCTTTTACTACAGACCACGGACTACCTGTTTGGACTAATAAGAAATTATATGCAGCTTAGAATATCCTTCACATACAAATGCATATAGAAACCTTGACATAGCAGGTAATAAACTGGAGTTGGTCTTCTTCCTTGTTTAATAACTGACTGATAATGTTTGGTATGATGAAACATTTTGATTGGTGTTTGGTGGATTTACACAGCTGTGAAGCTAAGTATCTACTTTAAAAGAGGAAAAAACTCACAATGCTTAAAAAATAGTCAGCACTTGTAAAAGCTTGGCAGTTTCAATTTGATTATCCTCGATTAAGATAGTTGCCACAAAAAGCCACATCACTTAATGTTAAATCTAAATAAATGTAAACTGCCCTTTTTTATCTAAAAGATTTTCAAGAATCCAGGTGGAATTATTCATATCAATTTTTTAGTTTAATTTTACTTCCAAGTATCAGCTAAGCAAGACCAGACTTGGCAGCATAATTATTGTTTTACTCACAGATGAGTAAGATAGTCTGAGGCACACCTGGGGAAGTCCGGGAAGTCTTTCCGTAAAACAGAACAGAATTCCCCATTCTGTTGAGCATTAACTAAACTACTTAAAGGAACAGTTAACTGATTCCTGATCAGTTTACCATTGGTTTTTATTTTATCAATGAATATTTCTTCATACTTCTTCTTAGGAAACTAAGTGTTTTTCATATGTTGAATGAACAAAATAGCTTTTATTCAATATAGGAACAAGATGTGCGCAGGTAACTGAACATTGTTTTTGTTCACCAACAAAATACCAGATTAAGTTTGAATCCAAGGTCTACCTCAGCCACGAGGTGACGGCTGAACAAGTCCTTCCTTCTTTAGCAGGTTATGTTTTCTGCCATGAGTCATTCTCCTTGGAAATCTCCCTATCATGACATCACAGCAGCCAACCAATCAAGTACATGACAGCTGTTGTCCAGAGAGACGTCCCACCAAAGTGGAAATATATCTGTTGGCAGTACAGTACTTACTTCTTTATTTTATTACATCATTTTTTTCCAGTGGGAGGTAGGCCTCTTGACTTTTGTTTTCATAACTGTACTGTCGGATCACAAACGTAATGATGGCTGACATTACCTTGCAGAAAAACAAATTAGTTGCGAGTTGCCCTTTACCTTTGCGGCACACCACCTAATGTTTAATCAAGCCCAGAAAAGTCAACCATTGATATTTTGTGGTATAAAAAACATTCAGTCTTTCCCAAACAGGTGCACTCATCTATTTTTACCTATATCATAACCTCTCCTGTTCATGATTTTCATGTTTGCTGTCAATAATTCTGTTTATAACTTGTAAAACATCTGCTGTTGTTTAAGAAAAAAACAATGTTATCTAACAAGAGAGTGTGATCAAAACACAGATATTTATATTGCCAGTCTGATTTAATCATTAAGTTGGCACAGTCCAGTGTGCTGTCACAGGCCCCCCATGCCAGGATGTGTCAAAGTTAAATTAGGTTAAAACAGGTTTGGGAAGAAATGTAACAACTACGTTGTCTATCTACATGAATTAAGTAATGAATATGATTTGTTTTAATATCTCTTGTCCTCCGCTATACATCTATTTCTAAATAGTTTCAATTCTTTTACAAATTACTTTAAATGAGGATATTTGAATGTCTGTAATGTCTGTTTTTCTTTTTTTGCGTTTTCCTTCCCAGATTAGAAACAATCGGCTGAAGGAGCTAAATGCTTAGTCCTTGGTACGCTGCAAAGACGTGTTTACACTCTTAGGCTGAATGTAATGACACACATGGTGGATCCAGAATAGGTTGCTGATACACCAAAGGATCCAGTCTCTGTGTCCCTTTTGTCACCTCTTCCTTGTTAAGGGGACAAAGAGGCCGTAAACAAATCTGATGCAACCTGGCAGAGCAGTTTCAGCTGCAGTCATGACATATGTATGTGTGTGTGTGTTAGCAGATAAACAGGCTGGATGCCAAGTGTCTTGTGACTCTGCCTCTTTGTTTAAACAGCCATAAAAATAAGTCTTTGTCTAACAGGCTTTATTGGAACTTTACAGCCTTGTGTACTCTCCAAGGTTTTTTTCTATGAATCCTGATGTTCTCTGTCACTGAGACGTTTCCATTCCCCCCTCACTGCCATGAAGTTCTTTCACATTTGTAAAAATATGTGCAGACCAAATGAATTGTATTTTATATGAATTAACGTTTGCTTTGCCTTTGCTCTGCTTCACATTATTGAAATACTAACTTGACTACATATTAACTGTCCTGCTCTCAACACCTTTTCTCTGAATCCTGGTACTTCTAAACTTCTGAGAAGTGTCCATCCCCCCTCACTGCCATAAAGTTCTTTTACTTTTTTAAAATTTAGTGCAGAAAAATGCATTGTATTTTAAATTAATTAATGTCTGCTTTAATATCTTGTCCTTACTTTTTTTTTTTTGGTAAGGCCAAGTCCTTATCTTTTCATGGGTTTCTCTTCCTCTCACTATGCCAGGATAGGTCAGCTAAAGGGGCTAAAATCAGTCTTCCTACTGTGTTTCTGAACCCACCCAATCATTCTGTTCACACAATCTAGTTGTTTCCAATTTATTTTTCACAATTCAAAGAAAACAGTCAAGGACATTTGAAATGTTATTATCAAAGGTGTAAAGTGAATAAGGAAATCTTGAACTGAATCCTTATGAAACCATATGAAAACACAAAAATGACCAGCCTGTGCAAGAAGTATCTCTACTGCTGAAAATACATTTCCATGATTTTATACCCAAAGGAAAGTGTTTGAGTAATGTCAACAACATGAGAGTACAAGAACTACTCTGCCTACTTCCAAATTATTGTCGTCTCACTTTAATTAATAACTTCTAAGCCTGCCCCCATACCTTATTTTATTAAATTCAATTCAAATGTATTTATATAGCGCCAAATCACAGCAACAGTTATCTCACAGCGCATAACTGTATGTGGGCGGAGTAAGGTACAGGCAGACTTGGACTGACTTTTGCTATAGATTATTGGTTAAGAATGTTGATAGATTTGTCCTGGGCAGTGTTACATTTAGTATCCGAAATGAAAAGGACTTTAGAATCTGCAGTCACCCTGCACATGCTCAGTCAAATTTCATCTCTGAATGTTGAAAAGGAGTAGAACAAAGAATGACTTTTAGGTGTAAAAGTATAGCCTTTTTAATAATAAAAGTATAGATAGCTAAACTGCAATAAAATTGTGGCTGGTCTTGAGGTTTATAGTTTCAAATGAAGAAAAAAACCCAGCTAATGCAGTTTTTGCTGTGCCACAATTACTTTTTTTGTTGCGACTCTGTTGCATAAACCGAGTGTTCTGAGCAAGACTGTGTCATCCACATGAAAATCTCCCTTAATGATGTCACCGATCCTTTGGGACATTGAGAGAAGATTTTCTTTTTATAATAAAGAGGAGAGGTTTATGACTACAGTCCGCTTTACATGCCCGTGTTTATGTTCCGTTTAATTTCCTCTGCACCACTGTTCGGTGTTCTCAACAGGTTCCCTCAGGGGTTGAGGCGACTCCAGGCTGATCATGAGTGTGGGCTCCCTGCTCATCGGGTCTCCACGGCGCCACTCCCCGTTTGCATACGGGATCCGAGGTTGTGGACCGGTCTCTTGAAGAGGAGGCGGGTCAAGGCAGAACTCCTCTTTCTCCTGCTGCTCCAAGTGTCCCAGGATGGCTTTGGACAAGAAGTGAGGATCGTCTTTGCGCTCATCTGGAATAAGGTTACACAATGTGTGTTAGAATCGTCCTGGAATTCTCATAGCTTTTAGCCCAGCTTGTTGAACTGTAAAACTGTGTTGTGAAACTAGTTTTGTGGTCATCATCCTAAAGAAAAGGGATGGTAAGAGGCCAGAGATGCTCTATGAAGCATATCTTATACTTTGACCTTTATACTTAATTCCTAATTCCCACTGCAGAGTGTCTAAAAAAAACTTTAAAAGATAATGCAGAAGCATCTATTAAGAAATTAATCCTGACCGTCAATCCTTGGGGGGGGGGGTTAGCTCAAAGGTAAAATCCTCCTAAAAGCAGCGTGTGTCACGGACACACAAATGTGTGTTTTTTCATACCATTGAGCATGATGAGTCGATAGCGGTTGCGACACTCCAGAGACTGGCCGAGGATCTCCTGCAGGGTCCTGTAGAAGAGCAGGACCTGCTGTCTGCGCTCAGGCTCCCCAAAACCCGCCCCTCTGTCCTGGGACATCCTGTAGAGTGTCAGCAGAGGCGTCGCATACTCCACCACGCAGTCATGGCCCTGCTTGCACACAGGTAATACACACAAAACCGTGCTTTCATCACCTACATTATCATTGACTTACTGTAATCTCCTGAAGGCTTAGTCTAAAACCTTAAGTCATGTTTAATGCTTAATAAATTGAGTAGCTGCTGTTTGTCCCCAAAGGAAAGTGAAGTCCCCGGCAAAGTTACTACTTTGAACAGATTTATTAATCAATTCATTTTTTTGCATTACGATGCTTATGATGCAGGAAGATAAACACGAAGAAGAACGGGCACCCAGAGGAATACATATTTCCTGGGCACATAATCCTTTAAAAGCTTGTGTCACTCCACTTTCAAACATGTTTGATGATGATAATGTTCAACAGGCAGATGGTGCTGTGCATTGATGATGTGTGCTAAAGAGTTCTACAGTTTAACCATAGGTGGCGCTAAATCCATGCTGTCTTGTAGCAGCAATGTACAGTGATGCACCAAAAAAAGAAAAAAGGGCTTTAACAGTAGTTTTGTAAAACCTGACATGGGGATATGACAAAGTGAAAACAGAATGTTAATTTAAAAGTGAAATAGTAGATTGGTTCAACTTTTTTTTTTTTGCTCAGAAATGCTCAATTTACAACCCCTTTTAGCAATGATGGCTAACATTTACAAATTTCCAATAAATTATTGAGCAGGTCTGGTGATTTAAAAAGGCTAATTAATGTTGTATAACATTCGGGTGCTAATGAGGACAGATATGCACTTGCTACACGAGGCATCTGGTCTACTGGGAATTTGCAAGCCCTCGAAAAAATCGGTCAAAACACAGTTGCATTTAAATGTTTGCAAACTTTAAAAGTCCACCATGCACACATGCTCTGATATATTATTTTCTAACAAGCTTTCATGGCTATCTGTGGTGTAAAGTCACTGTTTGCATATACACAAAAACGTTCTCAAAGGGAACAAATACCAAAAATGCAAATTGCTGGGCTGAGTTGATAGCTAATAACTGTAATTTCTGTTTGACAGATGGTTCCATGATATCCCTCTGCAGTTTATCACATTACCTCATCCGAAAAGATGCAGGCTCACTTATTATAACAGCTCCCATCTTGTTAAATGTGCCTGTTAATGCATGCATACAAATACTACGTCTGTTTTGCTGGAAGGTCGCCACTGTTGAACAAAGGTGCAGGGAATCTATCTATCTATCTATCTATCTATCTATCTATCTATCTATCTATC